GTGCATGTGGGCAGCGGCCGGGGGTGACGGGACTGCCCGCCAGGCACGGGCAGCAGCCAGTGAGACCACAGCGACCAGAGCACTTTGTCCACTGTAAAGCGCGGTGCACAGGTGGTTACGTCCGTGTGCGTGAGGCTCACGAAGTCCTCAATCCTCGTTTCCGGTGAACAGGACGGCTGGGAGCACTGGGGGCCCCTGGGGAGAGGCCACCAACCCCCCAGAGCAGAGCTTCCCCGCGCAAATAGCCCCCCCCCCACCAGGGGGCGCCGGACGGGGCGCTCAGGCGTTGCCAGATGTGGTGGCCGCTGTCCCCAGGCTGCCGATTTAATCTCCGGTCATCCCCTCCTCAGACGGAGGGGACAGAGGGCCAACGCCTGCCTGGCCCTGGGTCCCGAGTGCTTGGTGGCCCGAGGCCGCCAGGCAGGGACCCACAGGAAGGGGGGGGGGGAAGGTCGGTTTTCGGGACGGGTGTTACCTAGAGTCTGTGAGTCGAGATCATCATCTATAAATTCCTCACCCTGGATGACGCTCTGGACGCCTTGGCTGTGGCTCACGGGGCTCGTCATTTCTTGCTCCTTCTCATTGTGCATCTGGGCGTACACGGTCCTGCCGGGGCGTTTCCTGTGGGGCAGAGGTGGGGCTCGGGGTGCCGCGCAGGCCATCCGCCCCTGGAAGCCCCCAGACGGCTGCGCCCCAGACCACTCCCGCGTGTGGTGCGGACAGGGCTCCTGGATCTCGTCCCTTGCCCCATGTCTGCTCCAAACCACCTCCTCCAGGAAGCCCTCCGTCCTGTGAGGTCTGCCGCCCTGGATTTCCCTCTGCCCCGGGGCACGGGTGCTCGCGGTCTGTCTCCCCTGGTACCTAGACTGAGATCACATTGCAGGAAGGGGGTATTTTTACTGTCCTGTGTTTCCCAGTCATCCGGCATCTCCGGGAGACCAGCGTCCTGGGCTCTGACTGGGTTGGTGAGACACGCTTTCCCGTGAGACACAGGTTGCCGACCTGGCTCTGAGAGGCACCTGCTGAGTCCTGCCGGGGTCCCAGGACCGTGTTGTCTCGATTTCCTGTGCCTCTGGGGCCGGAGGGAGAGGAGACCGTGGGCACAGCCCCCTCTGCCTCAGCTGGGCACCCCTCTGGGCCAGCCTCCTTCCTGTTCGATACCTCGTTAGCCTGAGTGAAACCGGGAGGAGCCCGCGGTCCCCCGGGAAGAGCAGGCTTTCTCGGACGCCGCTCCCCAAGCCCTGCCCGTTCTTCAGGGACAATCGGATGGCAGGTGACCTTCAGGCCTCTGGGCTGGGCCAGACCACGTGGCCAGTTCTGCCCACCGAGGGCGGATAAAGGTGGCACATGTCACCTCCAGGCTGAAACACGGGATGGCTTGGTCCCTCCAGAACTCTCTTCCCTCTGCTGTGCCTCTGGCTTCTCGAAATGGCCCTGCCCCTGAGCCACTACGGGAGGCCAGCCCCTCCCAGCCCCAGGGGACAGCCCGAGTGAGGAGTCAGCCTCTGGCGGCTGTGAGCCCCTGAGCCGTGGGGCTGCTTGTTACGGCAGCTGAGCCCGGCCCACGCTGACTGCTACGCCGCTGGGAACGGAGCCAGCTCCCCGGACCCCCACGGACCGTGTCGGACCCTCGGGCCTCAGGACCCGAGAGGCATTTCTCTGCTGCCTGGCACCAGTCTGCCTCGCCTTCCCTGCAGGGCCTGGCGCTCCGGGAGTGGCCACCCGCCCCCTAACCGTGCTCTACTGTTTCCAAGGCAACCCCGGGCTCGTGATCAGTTCAGGAACAGTCCTCAGGGTGCCAGGCAGCGGACCGTCACTCCCTCCCTCCCCCGTTTGGGGCACCTTCTGGGCCCTCTCGGGTCCTCCCCTTCTGCCTCCTCCCACCCCCTCCTCCGGGACCAGCTGTTTGTGGAGCTGCTCTCTGGCCCTCAGGGGCGTCTGAGGAACACAGTTCAGGAGGCCGGAATTCTGTCCCTTCCATGGCCTTGACCCACCAACCCTGCCCTGGACAAAGTCCAAACGACCCCCCGCATCCGTGCTGACGTCCAAGGGGAAAGAAATGGGTGGGGATGTGCCCAGCCGCTGGCCTCTGGCACAGCTCCGGCTCAGAGAGGTGCGTCACCTGCCATCCCTGCAGCCTGACGCTCATCCCCACCCTCCCCACTCCCCCCAGGCTCCGGCCTCCCTTCGTGGGGTGGGGCATCTCAGCTAACTGCCTGGGGACCAGAGAAGGGCACACAGGAACACACCTGCGGGGGCTGCCCCTCCCCCTCCTCCCCTCCCTTCCTCCTCTTCCTCCTCCTTCTCCCCTCTTTCTCCCCCTCTTCCCCTCCCCTTTCCCTACCCCCTCCTTCTCAGTCCCCTTCCATAAATGAGGAAGCCAAGGCAGGCCCCGAGGGGAAGCCCAGGAGAATGGCCCCTGCCTCAGTGCTGGGCCGCCCTGCAGTCTGGACAGGGCCTTGCACTCAGGGTGAAGTTTGCTCCAGGATGGAGACCCAGACGTGGCTGGAAGTCTCTGCTTTTTCCTTTAATCTCTGCAAATACACAGGACACCGGGTCCCCACCCCGCACGTGTGCGGCAGAGGGGGGCTGGCAGGACACCCGCTCTTCACACCCTTGGGAGAACCAGCGTGCCCATTCCACAGATCTGGAAGTCGAGGCTCTGAGCGAGTCCTACCTGGCACGGCCACACCTCTGTGGCCTGTCTTTGGGGGAACTGAAGTGTTGCAGCACTTGGCACAGCATGGGACAGTGAGAACGGAGTGTGCAGGGAGAGCAGGGACGCCCTTTAACTGGGGGGGATGGGACTGGGAGGCAGCCCTGTGTGCCTCCAGGTAAACATCAGGCCCCCTCCTGGCTGAGCCTCGGGGATCAGCCTGGTACCCGTGTGGACTGTGGGCCTGGGGCCAGCACCACGGACGTCGGACATCTGGCGTCGGGAGGGGAAGACGGCAGAGCTCTGAGGCTGAGAACACTCTTGTAACGGAAATCACGGGACCCCCGCCTCGATCAGAATACAGTCAGCAGCTCTCCACCTGGCCCACGATCACACCATGGAGGCCAGGGGTGTGTGACCTGCCTCTTAAGGCGCCAAGCGCATCTGTCATGCACCTGAAGACTGCTCAGGGGGGCCCAGGAGGGGCCTTGGCCAGCAAGGGGGCCCTTCTGCCCCGGCCCGGGGGAGGGCCTGGAGTTACATTCCCTGGGGCTTTGCCGGTACCTGCTTTAGCCTGACCGTGTTTGGGGTGGGGAGGGGCCCTGCCTTTGGCCCCAGAAATCCTGGTCTCAGAGGCCACTTCCTAGCTGCGACAAATCCCACTTTCAGAGTGGCTGTGGGTGTCAGTCCATGTCACCCAGGCTGAGGGGACGGAGCAGACAGGGAGGAGGTGGGGCTCCTGACCCCGGCACCCGGCAGAGGGTTGTGTCCTTCGTCCAAGAGAGGCTTTTTGGGGCAAGGATCTCGAGTTTGATTTGAACTTGAGGTGCCAGCGGGGGGACACCCAGGTGGACCTGTCCACCAGAAACCAGTGCCTCTACAAGCATAGACACCAAGAAAGGCCACAGCCTGGCTCCTGTTCTAGCCTCTCTGCTCAGCAAGTTCCTACTTTTCCTTCAGGATCCCCACTCAGAAATCCCCTCCTTAGGGAAGTCCTCCCAGATTCTCCAGACCAGCTCAGGTCCCTGTTATACACTCTCAGAGCGCCACAGGCCGCCCATTCGGTTGGGACTGATAAACAGTTGGGACTGTTCGGTTGGAACAATAAAGCTGGGGACCCACACAGAGGAGTGGGGTGCACATATGGTCACCACTTAAAAGACCGACCAAAGGAGCTGGGAGGCGTCTGGAGACGGGTGAGTGGGGCGCAGGGCCTGGGGGAAAGATGGGGTTGGAGGAGGGACCCTTGGCCTCACAGGAGCACGAAGGGAAGGGTCAGCATGTCTTGGACTGTCCCGAAGGGCGACCCTGAGGCCGCTGGACCTGAGCCATCAAGACAGGAGAAGCAGTGAGGTCACAACTCGAAGCCGCCTTTTGAAGAATGAGTCTGGTGACACGTCTGGTTCATTTTGCTCATTCTCAGGTCCAGGATCCGGGGAAGTTCAGCTTCACCAGCCCCTCCAGGGCGGCCTGGGAGCCCCAGCATGGTGGGTTATTAAACCCATTTTACAGATGGGGCCCAGAGGGGACAAGAGTCCCCGCAGTCCCCACTGAGGACTGCATACTATGCTTACAACCCCTCCTGGCCTCAGAAGAGCCCCCCCCGCCAGCTCCAGCCTCTCCTGCAGCTGCTGGGAGGCGTAGAACTATTGATCTTGAGGGGAGAAGTCTGGGCCAGCCCGGCTCAGATCCCCCTCCTCTGTTCACCAGCTGTGTGGCCCTGGGCACACTACATGACCTCTCTGAGCCTGGATCTCCTCATCTGTGAAATGGGCGGGGCCTCCCTCCACGTGAGATAAGACTTGGATGTCGGCAGACAGGAGGTGGGGGTGGAAGACGGTCGTGGGGCTGTGAGCCGCTGGCCGCC